CTAATTTGAATGAGTGCCCCGCAGGTGAGTGTTGGGCGACAAGGAAAGGAGTGGACGACTTGGGTGGTCTGGGTTCCGCATTATTTGGTATACCAAGATCAAATCTCCTCGAATGCGATGAGACTGTGTGGAGTACAGTTGCAGTGATTCCAGTCTCCGCATAACTCTTGGAATGTAGTCCTTTGACCATTTTGGTAGCCATTCTTTGTGGACGTTCCAGAATCTTTTGATCGCGTTGCAGCCATGGATTCCATGCTTGAATGGCGTACTCTGTGTGAGGTCGAATGTAGGCTGATAAAAATCTTGGGAACAGCATTGGTTCAAATTTGCCAAATACTCGTTTTAGCAAACCACCGTCTTACAGCGGTAGACGATGCCCGGGAACAGTTTAAAGAACAGCTTAGGTCGTCTTGAACAATGACACCGAGATCCTTCTCATTCGAGACGTATGGAAGTTGTTGATCTCTTAGAAAATACGGGCAGATAATTGTCGTTATCAGGAATAGATACACGTGACTTTCTGATTTTCGATTGATCTGGTGGTCACTCTTTTGTGAAGAATAATTTCGCTTGATGCTATTCAACCAAACCGTTTTATTTTGACAATTCGCTGATCGCAGTGCCTGTTCTAGCAGTGATGATTCGCTCCTCCATAGTCTGTGGCTTCTCGAAAAATCAGTCGAAACGTTTCCGATGCGACGCCTAAACCAATTTTCATTCAAGACCATCAAATCTAATCAATTTCATCTCATTGTTGCTACTGTAAAGTTCCTTTGACTTTGGACATTGTTACAACTCAAAAACAGGTCAATGCTAGTAGTCCTAGGTTAACCAAACTTTGAAATACGTATGACTTCATCAAATAACAAATGTAAGAAACAGTCGTGTACTGCAAGTTTCCCCTTCATCAGACAGCTACAGACTATCGTTTTGTAGCCACCGGCTCCGTTCCCGAACACCCATAATCGAAGAGAGAATAAATCCGTTTTTCCGACGCACTCCTAACGCCTAAGGTCGCGGCACGTCCGACTTTTCAATCCGTTTATTCAGCTGTTCAATCACGAAGAAACCCCGGGGTGAATTATCATATTATATGAAAAATATCAAGTTTCTGTTTGGAATTACTGCTTAATCTATCTGAATAATGTTTCCAGGGGTCAATCAAAGTAGAATTATGCCAGTTGCACCGAACTGGTTACTGATTTGCATTCGAATTCAAGTGTAGTATTCTTCAAAAGTGGAAACTGAATAGCCATAAATTGACGGGGTATTTCTTTTCCGTATTGTTTGAATCCACTCACAAGTGGGTGGAACAATACAGACAACGGGGTGTGGCAGAAAATGACTTCCAAGTTTTATTTCGTTCTGATCAGATTGAGAATAATTTCATCGTGCTTAAACAAACAATGAGAAAAATTTTACAAGAAAACTAAGATCACATGCATAACAATCCGGAAGATCGAACATGGATGAACAATATCCGTTCACAATTGCAAAAAGACAACCTATCGGATTTTACCAGCTGCATTTGATACGCACCACTTTACTTCTTTTGAATCTAAAATTTCGAACACTGAAGTGATATTTTTCCACAAAACATGAAACTGTACCCTTTTTTCCTTCGTATTTGAGTCGAAAAGTTTCCCCACTCACGTCAGACTATCAAGTCACGTAACTGAAGCAAAACTTCAGACGTGCTGTGAACATATGCTTGATGAAGGTGTTGAAAAGGTGCATTCATTTGTTCATCGACCGTGGGTGCACACGTAGAGCCAGTGGCTACAAAACGATTGTTAGAGGTTGCTAAGCGATTGACTGTCGATACCATACAACGACAAAACCTGTAGTTCTCTCGGAATTCATTGTGTTCCCAAAGATTTCAAAGCCTAACTTGAGCATAAATGTCAACGTTTCACGAAGGAAAGGGCTCATGGATTATACATTGGTCGTATGTTGAAGAGATGCACATATACTAATCTGGGATGTTGGACTTTTGTGATTCTGTTGATGTGTGCTGTCCCAGTCAATTCCAAACAAAGTGTTCTTGAAACACATTCTCAAATCCACGTTGTCAATCCTGAGCACCTCGCTGAGATTACGGTTTGCCAATGACAAGAGCTCTCCAGATGCTATACTGCAACTCTCCCGTTTTTCACAACACATGAGGATTAGATTGATGTTTTTTGTTTGGAAAACACTTGGATTCGACTGAATAAAATGTGTTCGTGTAGCACAAACTAAGAAGAAGCGGTACAGAGACGAGAGGGAAGGGAAAAATCGAGTCATCACTGTACTCAGTGGGAAAATAGATCAAATGTAGGTTTCTGTAATTCAGCTTACCTTCACAATGTATTTGTCCAGCATTAACGTGATACTGCACTCGAACCGGATCGTTGAAACAGTGCACTCACACATTCAGAATCTCACCCAAGTGTGGTCCACGTAATCTTAGAAAAGGATATGGAGACCAATGGAGAGCAACTCGCTGTTGGTTTGAACTGACACAGCGGAAGTGAACAAATGGAAAAGTTCCTTTATAACTTTGTAATTTACATCTCTGGTACGATTTGTTCTTCGGACTAAGTTCACGTCAGAATCACTTCGAGGATTCCGCATTGTTGCTATGGATGAGATGTAACTGATGCGTTCTACCCCCCAAGTAGATTATTTGGGATATCGAATTTGTAAGCATCAACTAGTTGAACATCATATTCAATAGTTCAATGAGAAATCCTTTGTTCATTCACCTTCCGGTAGCAGTATAACCTTTCATTAGTGATTCAGTAGAGGAAATTGATATTCTCAGCTGTGGGGAATAAACGAAAGTTACTTTGCAACGGGAGCGTAGGTTGATCAGTGATATAGCTGACAGAACAGTTTTGCTGTGTTATTTTGTGGGAGACGAATAAAGACCTATTCATACATGAGTATGATACTTAGTCGAACTTGTACCGACATCTCAAAACTGAAATGGTAACCTAGCACAAAACGCAGAGTTACAATATGTTAATATTCTGATGAGCTCGGTAAGAAGCTGTGTCTATTGGTAAAACAGAACACTACGACCACTCGGGGTGATTTTATGGAAAAAAGATGGAACTGATTCACTTGAATCCGCGCATCAATTTACCACTTGTTTGAGGGTCTTCTTCGTGGTTATACTTCCCCGTTTATCCATGACAAGCAAGCTCAGAGCGCGATGTGTATAAAGCAGCATTATGGTTTCATATATTCGTTTTATACTGAGAAGACCAATTACAACATGAGTTGCTCGCGGAGGAATTAATGATCGGAAAAAGGTGGACAGAGCATCAGATCTTTGCCACCAACCAAATATGTAAACCTCAGTATTGTTGCTGTTGACCGTTTTACAGATTTGGTTTACCAGTTAATCACTATCATTCTATTTTTAACAGCTCTTTGAAGTAAAGTTCATCGCCAGTGAAAGCTGAACCCGTATTTATGTGTCACACGTCCATCAACGTGCGGAGGAAGTAGTAATGGCTTCTGCATATATTATCCAGTACCTTGAATTCTATGTATCATTTTTTGAATACGATGTAGAAAGTGTTCAGGGTGTTCCATGGAACAGAGGAAAAGCGTTAACAGGGAAACCAATATCAGAGCACTTCGGAGGACAGACCGATCAAACAACGTAGGTTTTGAATGTTGGTGCAGATTTGCCAGTAAGTAACTGATCCGAATTTGCCCCCACCGTATGCTGCATTCGATAGACACACTTTACCTTGTAGTGAATCCGCGGAAAATTATGCTGATCTACACTCTTGAAACCAAAATTGACACTTTCATTGAAACATGAAAATATGCTTATGCATATTTTCTTACCCGAATACAATGCTTTCGCGTGTCTTACAGGGAGTTATCTAATCTGAAAAGTGAGTCAAGTCACCCGATGTGCTATGACCTAATGAGGTATGATTGTGCCGGAAAACAGTTCATATTCCTACCTGAACGGTGAATACTTGTACTTGTGCCAGAATAGATGTGTATCGCATCATTCTCTTCCGGGTACAATAGGAACTTGTTGCATAGATTGAAAACTTGAACGGTTTCCATCTGGGTTATTCGGATCACATTCCATGAGTCAACCACTATTTGGCTTCGGTTAAGAAGGAGAAGAAGAACCATAACGAGTTACACTGATGACATTGTCTGGCCTGGCTAGGAAACGTCTGCGAACAACACTTCCAGCTCGGAGAACACACGAACAACAACACGAGTTTTGTATAATTGCGTCATGCATTGCTCGTTACAACCTGTATTATTTCACCCGAATACAATAAGTACACATACTTCACACTGAGCTTCTCAATAATGTCAGTAAGTCAAATGTTTTAAAGTGCTGTGAATGTGCCCGGAAGCCGTACCTATTCCTCCCTGTTCGGTGTCTGCCAACGGGCAATCACTGGCTCCAAAGAACGATCTCCATAGGCTACTCAACAACAGGCGACGCCTTTAGAACAGCACCACTCATAACAGAATTGCTTAGTTACAGAGAAGGTCCATCTCCCAGTGAAATGCATATTAGGCGTGACTTTTTATTTGTGTTTAACATAGACTGTGAAATACATAACAAATTAATACAAATAAAATAATAAATAGAATGCTTTTCTTTTGCCGGGGGCAAAAACACTGTTCAATCGGATCAAAGGTTATACCATGTCTTCGTGTAAAATATTTATTCCTCTGCTCAACTTTTTTCTAACACCTGTCTAAACGAATACTTTCTTGACATACTTTCCGCTGAAATTACTCCGTACACCACTCCTTTGAGATGAGACCATTAGAAATCGAATTTTACAATGATAGCCATTCAATCCGAGCATAATGCCCATCACATATTTTATTACGGGATATATGATTTGCGCCTTTGAGAAACTCAAAGGATTCTTGAATAAATCGAAGTGATTTAGTCTTCACTGTACCCACCGTTATCAACCATTGGCTTCCTCAACATTTTCTGTTAGTTCACTTCTGCCATGGCCAAAGCGCAAGCCACGTCTGGTAGTTATTTGCTTAGCGATGTGAACCAGAGCGGTAAACAGGCTCAGGGTGAGTCAGATCAACAATATGTATGATTGTATGTATCTATCTAGCTATGTATGTATGTATGTATATATGTACGTATGTATGTATGTATGTATGTATGTATGTATGTATGTATGTATGTATGTATGTATGTATGTATGTATGTATGTATGTATGTATGTATGTATGTATGTATGCACTATGTCTACACGGAAAAAGAACGAAGTTTGAAAGAACTATCCGAGCGGACTTGTCAATCCTTGAAATACCGTGAACATAATTGATGGAGACTGAAGCAAATCAGTCCCGGTAAAGACTGCTTGGTGAGAACCATCGGATGCTTTCAAAGCTCCCAAGTTACGGAACAACTAGAGTGTAAAACCATACGTAATACTTTGAGTACAAAGCCAGCTGATACTGTGTATGGGATAGGCACATGCGACTAACACTTTCTCAAACAGAGTAGCATTGACACTATTGTATATGAAAACTGAGCCCATCGACTGAGTGAGCTCCCACTGGTGACAGGCGGGTCCGACGTATAACGCTTGACAAAGAAAAACATCAACAATATTCATTGCAGTGGCATGTCCTTTCCAAACGTATTCTTGATTTCTCGAAAAACGAGGTAAGCTGAAATTATTTGAAAACCGAACATTAAATGATCCCATCGAATGATGCATGAAACGAGCCTTTATAAAGAAAGGACCATACGAGGGGAAGTGGAAGGCAGAATAAATGCATTTCATTCGACAGAGATTGAGGTAAACAGCGAATTGCAGTGTGCGAAAGCACACGAAAATTAATCGCTCTAAGTAGTTACGATAGCAGAAGGAAAAGTTGAACATATCTAAAATGAAATCATTACCACCGTAATATCGTCATAAAACCAAAATAGAATAAGGAAAAAACATTTAAAACGATGCCAGATGCAGCCCGAAATACCCGCAACTCAAGTAATGGTACAAAGGTTCTAACCTCAACCATAAAAATCACAAAAGGTGCAATTTCATTCATCAAACATTCTCTATAAGAGCACCTAACTGGCTATCAGCTGCAAAATATTAATGACACCGACAGCTAAGTGCACATGAGCCAATTTGAAGGAAAAGAAACAAGGAAAAACTAATCTAAAGCAAACAGTTGAGTATCGGGGATGGCACAAAGCTCCGGACAACGAGGAATACGACAAATGATCGGAACAAGCGAAGCTCAAAGAATTCTATCTACAGTTTAGAAGAAACACCAAAATAAGGAGCAACTTTCAAGTGATAACAACAAAACAAGCAACCGAAACATATGCGATAAGAACTATGAGAGAAACGAAATAAGAAATATGAAGAAAAAGAAACGAGATGATAAGGAAAGTTGTCGGAGAAAGTTAACAGAAAATTAAATCGAAATTTCATATGGTTCCGTTAGATTTCATGTATTGCATCAGAGCAAGCAGTATTGAAAAGCATTCGTCAGTAGACAGAAGATCACAGAACTCAACCAGCCGATTGAAGAGCGCAAACACAATAAATCAATTCCAATAAATCAATCTCCACAATCGAATGCTCCTGAAATCCGAGCATCTGATTGCAATACAAATAAATTATACTTCATCAAAACAAAGCACAAAATCAATTGAAACACAGAGTGTTGTAAAACAAATCACCACTCATCACTCTCGAACTGTGAATAATCAAAGTAGATCATGCGAAACCACTCTCATATATGTATGCTCATTGAACGCATCACGAGCACGACAATCAATTGGGAGAGAATCCAAAACGGATAGATCAACACATGTACTCTGCGCAAAATACGTCGCACAGAGAACAGCATATATAAGCACGACTCTAACGCTGGCGGAGATAATCCACTTGGTTGCGATAGTCAAAACTAGTCAGGAGAGAGAAGGAGAGAGAGAGAGAGAGAGCGAAAGATGCAATCGTCACGCACTAACTTTGCTCCAGAATGTGAACAGGCCATCAATCAACTGATTCAGGCCTATCAGTCCGCCTCACACACCTACGATCATCTGGTTGCCGCATGTGCAACCGAGGAAATGAACATGCCCGGATTCTGCAAATTCTTCCGCCTCTGCAGTCTCCGAACACGCCGTATTGCCGAGCACTGGACCAATTGGCAAACCATGCGCGGTGGCAAACTATACGTGGCCGAGGTGAAACCGCTCACACAAATCAACGACATCTGGCAACAGGGTATTGAAAAGTTGCTCCACATTGCCACCGAATTGGAGAAGAAAATGGAACAAATGGTGCGTCAATTGCATCAGATCGCTCGTTCCAAAGAAGATGTGGCCACTGCCGAGATCATTGAACAGAAATGTCTTCAACATCAATACTATGTGATTCGAATGATGGTGAATCATGAGAATGGATTGAAATTGAGCCAAAACGCTTATCTGTACGACTGCACAACTATGAAGCCATTGGTGAAAAGGATGCACAAATTTATGGTTTGGCACAATGAGCAGATGTCGTGTTCCGTCAGCTCGGACAGTGAGAAAACTCACGGTACAACGAGCCGACACACGACGTCCTCGTTCGAAGAATGCCCGGGCGTTCGTGCGTTCATGTCTTCCATTTGGCACTGAGTATGCAATGCCCATCTATCTGTAATCTTTTTTGAAAAAATACTATGAAAAAAAGAGGATGGATATCTGTGAAATATCGGATTAGTTTCTTTTGTTTTTATCACTTGAGGAATGCTTCTCACGTACCCAACCATCAGCCACCCCCAAGTTAGAAAGTTACAGATGTGAAAAGTTCTCATCAGCTGCAGGATGAATATTCCGTTTAACGTTCTGAGTCAGATTGGGCGTTGAATGATTGTGTCACACCATTCGCATTCGACGTTTTGTGGTTTTGTTCGAGGATGTTCTGTGTTTAGCACGAGTTCGATGGATTTTCCCCGACTATGGTAGGTTACTTGTGGGCGTTTTATCAAACAAAATGAAGTCAATCGGTACACGGAAAATAGGTTTGACGGATCTCGTTGTTTCTCGAGATGAGAGATCCCGTTTGGTGTCCTCATCATGCGCAACTCAAGCTCACCCTCTGTTCACCCAGATCGTTCACCTAAGGTCCCAAAGACCTGGTTCCGTATTACTCATTGCAATTAGTCGCGTATCTCAGTATATTCCAAATGATGCGCAGCGAATAATCCTAAATATCCTACGGTGTGATGTGTTTCCAATTCTACAAAATAGGCCATTGTGTTTGTGTTTGCGAAGCAATATGAGACCTAACTGACCGGGATTGATTCATTTTGTAATTCTTATAATTCATGAGGAACAAACCGTTTCTCGTTAACTATTAAAAGGCACAACAGTTCCATAGTTTTTGAACCAAATTTGTACACACTGCGTTACGATCCTTCTTGAGTATTACCTGCGTGCTTCAAAAAAAAACAACTAAACAATCAACCATCGAAGCTGGTGCTAATGTGGAAAAGTTGATGGGATGAATGACTGGCTTATTATATGTGTAGCTTTTTTTAACTTTCGTTGGCTAATATGCTTACACTCTAGCTGAAAATATACGAATGCAAAAATAACTAATATGAACCGTGTAGTTTTTCAAATCACTTGGATGATCTGCTGGTAAAACTATTCGAAAAAAGCATCGCACAGAATTGTAGTTTTCATCTCTTTTGCATAGTGAAACTAAATAAGATGAAACAGAAGGGATATGCTGCAGGCTTTCCGGATTTTTAAAGTTGTTGTGAGCTTCGAATTATAGCACTAATTTCTGATCGAACGATTTCTTGTCCAAACTACCGTTGCTAACGGGAACTTATAATGGCATACAGCTGCTTGGAATTCGGTATAACTATTAGAACCGGTTCAGTGTAAGCTAGAAAGGTACAGACTTCATTTTATATATCAATTTGAAACCACTGCCGACAGCAAAAACCTAAAAGGAAAGATGATCTTTGCTTACAATTTTGTGTTCCAATTCGCGTAGTTTTCATTGATAGAAGCCGGTGATATATATTTGTGATCAAATACAATCTATAAGGTTATTGCCGAGGTTTATCCACTAGACCCGGTTCTTGTCTAATGGTTCATTTAATCATAAAATGAGTGGCGCTGCCTCACGTACCTTTCTGGTGAGTTCTACCGCAATTTCATTTGATAAAGCTAGTTGGTACAGTGTAATCTATGATTGGAGGTTTATATAATCACAGCAGTTGTGTGATGCTTTCTTCGAATAGTTCTTCTGTGACGATTGACTCGGGCATATGAGGGTTGACGATCGAGTGGACCGAGATAGTATATTTGAGCGTTTCCATAATTTTATTAGCAGATCATCCAAGTGATTTGAAAAACTACACGGTTCATATTAGTTATTTTTGCATTCG